GGGGGTGGTAGGTGAAATGCAGAGCCCCAGCGGTCAAGCTTGACAGCAGACAACCTTTTTCAAAACAACACATCGCAAGGTTAGCAGCGGCAGAACATGAGCCTGGCATTCAAATGAAGGAACAGAAGGTCAACCGACCCCCCAAATTTCACCCCCATTTATAAGAAAACCAAAGGGCCATTCTAACCATACTTCACACCAATCTGTAGAGTGCACTTCTTACTAACTTATTGTAAAAAGAAAACCGAAAAATATATATATATATATATATAAAACAGCAAGCCATCGTACGAACAGACCAAACCCTCATGACAAGAGATCAACCTGAGGGTTGAGAACTGGAGAGAGAAAAGGTGAATCATGAGGAAAGACAGACAAACAACAGTAAGGCAAAGGGCAGAAGGCAACAAAGCAATGACAACATTGAGAACTGGAGAGAGAAAAGGTGAATCATGAGGAAAGACAGACAAACAACAGTAAGGCAAAGGGCAGAAGGCAACAAAGCAATGGCAACAAGCAGGAGCAAGAAACAAATAGGCTGGAGGGCTTGGGGGAGGCGGGTGGGCAGACAAACAGCACAAGACAGCGAGGAGAAAACCAGCAAGCCAAAAAAAGCAGCAAAGACCAAAATCAGCAGACCAAAAACAATACAAGTACCACACCAAACAAAGACTGAAGATAATAAAGCTGATGATGATAGAGTGTTTCGTCGGAGTTGCACCGACTCGTCAGGATCCTGAACCCTCGACAATCTGCAGAATCCCGGTATTGATGGTTTGGGTCATGAACCGTTTGACCCTTGGTTGGAAGCAGACTGTCCACAAATGGAACACAGCAGCAGGCAGCAACTCGGTGAAGCACCAGGCAGCGCTGCTGAGGCAACACAACTGCACAACACCGAAAACAACTGCATGGACAACAGGGCAAGTGGAAGTGCAGCACAAGGCAACACCAACAAGGCACCCAAACTACACGGCACACAAGCAAAGGATGTGGAAGGCACAACATGCGAATGGGCGGCAAGGCAGCAGAGCAGCGAAGCACAAGGCAAGACCAACAGCACAGCCACAGTACACCGTGAATACAACCGACGTGCGAAGTAAGTGGGTCGGGCAGCAAGGCGGCAGCGGAGCGCAGACAAGGCAGTCCACACATCCAACACAGAGCAAAGTGGCACATCGCCTACTCACATCACGAGTAAACCCCGCGAACTGTTGGTTCCCACCACCCACTGAGCCAGGGAGTCACTCGATGGATGTCTGTTATCACCCACACAGAGATCACAAACAGAGCGGCCCCCATAATAGTGCTACAGTACAGGCTATGTGACACCCGCGGCCTAGGCTGCGGGCATTTCGGCCGCTGCGGCCGACTTTCTCGGCCGCGGCCGCGGCCGATGAGGCCCAGTCTGCGGCCTGGTTTTTCAATATTTTTTTTCAACCCCTAAAAATACGTAAAAAAAGAAAAAAAAAAAGAAAAAACAGGGGGTGTAGGGCTTGGAAAACCCTACACTCCCATATTTTTTGTTTTGGAATCCGACTTTGTTAAAGATTCTTAAAAAATCAAAAACTGAAATCGATTTAAGCAAAATTAAAAAAAAAAAAAAAAAAAAAGCAGGAATTTTTTTTTGTCATTTTTTATCATGACATATATGGTCCCCGAGTCGACCTGTTTTTTTTTCTTAAATGAATTTCTGTTTTTTGCAGGGAAATGAGGTGTTTAAAAAAAAATGCACATGCACAAATAAACAAAAAAAAGGTTTGATTGATTGATTGATTGATTTGATTGATTGATTGATTGATTTATTGATTGATTGAGTGAGTGAGTGAGTGAGTGTGTGTGCGTGTGTGTGTGTGTGTGCGTGTGTGTGTGTGTGTGCAATAAGACTCGCTCTCTTCCACACTTTACATGCATGCAAACAGGTGCGCAGCAAGCTGGCGACATGCGCCCACTCAGAACTCAGAGATATGGTAACCAAGATCGCAACTCAGTTGTGCGCGCGCGCGCGC